CATATATATGAAAAAAAAAATAAGAGAAAGAAAAGGATAAGTTTGATTGGCGGGAGGATGAAAAAAAAGAAAAAAAAAAGACTTTTTTTAACATTTTAAGAGGAGTGTAACAAGTAGAATGTGATAGTTTAAGAATGTGTGTAAAATGTAGAATTGAGGTGATTTAATTGTATGGGTTTTTTTGAAATTTTAAGAGGGGTGTAACAAGTAAAATGGAGAATGATTTAAGAAAAGGAGGTGTTAATAATGCACCCTAACTCAAAAAGTGACAAATAAATTCTATTCAGAATTTGTGATTCATAAAAGCAATTAGGGACCATAAACGACATCAAAATAAAACGACATAATAACGGCAATAACAATTCTGTAAAACAAAAAACGATAGCAACATTAAATTGGAAGATAACGATTGGTCGATCACAATAACAACGACAGAAACCTATAAAACGACGACAAATGATAAATGAACAATTGAACATAAAGGAAAAGCGACGACAAATTTAATCTCAAGTTTGGGGAAGACCTAGGCCTCGGTCACTTCACGGATTTCAATTTTCAATTTGAGCTGAGATGTGACATTTTAAAGAGCTTTTCATTGTAACAAAAAAAGTTAGCTGTGACATTTTTTAAGAACTTTTTACTGTAAAAACTTAAAATTAAAAACTCAAATTGGTGAAATGAACGAGACTTTACTTTTTTCTCTACATAGGTAAAGAATTTACCCTGTCAGTAGCCTATAATAATAATAATTATTATTTTTTGGATAATCAATGGCCTATGATACTAGACCTCTTCATCATTCTCTAACTCTATTGTACATTTTTTTTCTTGCTTGAAAATTCTTTTTTTTTTTTTTTTTAACATCCTAGTACGTAATTGTATTTTTTAGGGGTATTTTGCTTTTTTTCTTGTGATTTTTTTGAAACTAAATTATTATTTTTCAAGAAAACTTAATCCACCGGCTAAACTGGATTCCAAATCAAAGTCCCAAGCCATTGGGAGGTATGACTGTGAAGGCTGAATTTGAAAAAGGCGATGAGTTTACGACGCAACGCAAGCTTACTAACTAGAAACGACGTCGCTTCAGAGAAGTGCAAACAAACGTACTACGTAGTGTGTAGTCATTCATCTTTGTGGCCATCGTCCTCTAAAAAGTCGTTCGGGTAAACTCCAGAGAGAGAAGGAGAGAGAGAAGAAACTGTAAATTTTTAGCCTTTTGGGTGTTTGTTTCTCTTCCTTTGTCTTTCGCAAAGCAAAGCAAAACAAAGGCAAAGAAGCAAGTCGTCTTGGCTTGGGTAGTAGTAATGGGGGAAGAGAGAGAGGACCCACAGAAGCTGAAGAGAATAGCGGCGGCGGCGTACGACTACGACAACGATCCCAGATGGTCCGATTACTGGTCCAACGTCCTCGTCCCTCCTCACTTGGCTTCTCGCTCCGACGTCCAAGACCACTTCAAGCGCAAATTCTACCAGCGCTACATCGTCCGTACTCTCTCTCTCTCTTCTCTCTCTCTCTCTCTCTCTCTCTCTCTCTTGTTTTTGATTAATTCAATTGCTTCAATCCGTTTTCTTGGAATTTGGAGTTCGACCCATCAAATCTTATCTGGGGTTTTAACGGTTTTGCCCAATTTGGGAATCTGGGATCTTATTGGGATTCGGGACTCTTTGCTGTGCAAATCTCATATGGGGTTGATCTCTTTTTCTTTCTCTAGGTCATCCAAGACTAGACATTTTTGTTTTTGTGTTATATATATAAATATATATGACACTTCACTCAATTGTTCGTGAATGAAAGTACATGGCTTTATCTTTTAGAAACCTAATTTTGCTTCAGTGTTGTTACGTTTTAGTTATTATATATTTTCTGATGTCTCGGGAGGAATTTCTTGTGGATGTTTTCTTAATCAAGTTTACGCCTTTTGTTTATTAATCAATGCTTGATTCAATTTCATTTCCTGTTTTATAAATTATTATATACATTGAAAATAGCTCGCATTGGATTATCATTCTCTACCATTGGTGAATGATCAAATCTGTCGCTTTTGTCGTTACTTCTGAACATAACATGGATATTAGAAGCTAAGGAAGTACAAAAAGCTCATTTTTTAGTTGATTTCGGGCATAATTTTAGCTTTGTGACTTTGAATTTTGGAATCTTTACAATATTGCACGTTGGATTTCAAGTACAGGATCCTGATCTTGTGGTAGAGTCAATGTCCACCGGCAGTTCTTCGCAGTCAGCGAGACCGGCATCATCCTCGACGGAAACACCACCTTCAAACGATCAACCTCGTTCACGTGGCACTGGTAGAAATTTTGTCTATGCTTCCTTCTGAACTTGAAATCCACAGAAAAAATGTAATGTCTCTCTGAATTACCAAACTGCACTTTCTCATTATTATTGTATCCTAAATCAATATCTGTAGGTTCAACTGCTCGAACTTCTGGAACATCAGCAAATGCAGGTTCCGGTCCTACTTCTCTGCGATGGGACCGACAAACCATTCAGTTCTCCGTCAATGCTTGGGTATATACTTAGAATCTGATTATTTAGAAAGTTAGTAGAACTTTAATAGCAACATTTGCTTATTTTGTGTCAGTTTTACTTACTGCTAGTTTTTTCAATAGCAAAATTATTTTCCTTTAAAAGGCAGCATAGTAGGTGGTGGTCATGCTGTTCTAATCTATAAATGGTAATCCGCATGTAAACTGCTTGAGTAATGTGAAAGTGTAGTAAAACAAATGACCTGATCCTCCTTTTTTGTAATTTGTTTTTATTTTTCTGGGTGGGTATGAATTATTTGCTAAGTTCCTTATCTTCAATGAATTTTTCAATTACTAAAATACTCGAGTTATTCTGAATCTAATTCTGATGACGACTATATAATACTTATTGCAAATAATCGTTGATTGTTCAATTTAGTGACTAAAGTACCATAATACAACCTTGGTTATTACTATATTTAAAAGAAAAAAAAAAGATCCCCTCTTCTTTATTTTTAAGATGCCTAAGTTGAAAAGGCCCTTTCTTTTCAGACGCATGACAGATGTAATCTTTGTACTTGCTTACATTGGCGGATGCTTTTCTGTTCACTTTGATTATAATTTCTTTTCTTATCCCCGCAGGTGTTTATTGTGGCTGTGCTGGCTATTTTTCCATTAGTACCTAAAGGCCTTTCACATAGGGCATATCGACTTTCGTTTATGGGAACTGCATGTTCCTCTCTGTACTCCGTGTACTCGTTATACGGGGTAAGTTTTCTTTTTCTTTTTCGACGTCTTATGTTTATAATTTAATTATATACACTGGTGACTTTTGCTTAAGCGTTAACTTTTCTTTTATTGCTTCAGAAACCAAGGGCTTGGAACTTGCAGGCCTTGCAAGTTTACTTCCAATCCATCATCGCGACCAAGGATTTTATCTATTTTATTTACTGCCTTACTTTTGGGACATCACACCTTTGCCTCAAATGTAAGCACTAATTGATCTTTAAATTTTCTTGCTTTTGTGTTGTTCCTATGGTACATAGTTTCTATCTTAGCTTCGTCCCGCGGTTGTGAATAGTTTGATGATCTGATATCCATTGCAGTTGCATCGATTCCCATATTATGTCGAGCTCTTGAAAATGTTGCCAAGTTCCTCAGGCGCAACTTCAACAGATCCTCCTTGTACAGGTATGAAGCAGATTTATGAACCTTTGATTGATGGCTTCCCAATTTTATTATTTTCTAACATGAAGTGTAAGTCTTCGATTGGAAAAGAGATGAACTTATTTTGTAACGGTTTTTTATTTCCGGACAGGAAGTACTTGGAAGAACCTTGTGTTTGGGTAGAGTCAAATACAACAACTCTGAGCATACTCTCCTCGCAGGCTGAGATTGGAGTTGGCTTTCTTTTGATCATCTCTGTTTTCTCGTCAGTTTCTTTGTCTTTCCCCACAGTTTAGTTAAGAACATGTTACCTGCTTTGTTGTTAGGATTTTATTCACTTACTAGTATTCTTCAACTTCTATTTATGCAGATGGCATCGCAACGTTATACAGACTTTCATGTACTGGCAGGTTAAATCCTCGTCTCTTATTAAAATAGCTTCTGTTACTTGAGCTGAAAAACTGTTTCCACTGTGAGATGTACTTGACTTGTGCAGTTTTGATTGTGAGTGGTGTTTATTTTCAAATTTATGATCTCTTCAACTGGTGATGCCTCCAGTAAATTTAAGAAACATGGAAAATCATTCTTCTTTTAGTTCGTTTTTGCAAAATTTCTCTTCCTTTCTAACTTTAGTAGTTTGTAAATACAGTTTGGTAGGCCAAGTGATGCCCAATCGGTAAGGATAGGGTGGGTTTAGGGAGAGATCGCTCTAATCCTTGGAATATCTAGCAATGTAATAAAAAGAAAAAAAAAAAAAAGATACGGTTTGGTAGACTTCTTATGGAACATAACAAGTTTCTTCCTTCGGAATGTTTTCTTGCAGCTACTGAAGCTGATGTATCATGCCCCTGTGACCGCTAGCTACCACCAAAGCGTGTGGACTAAGATCGGGAGGAGTGTTAATCCGCTCATCCAGCGGTATGCTCCATTCCTTAATTCTCCACTTTCGGCTGCTCAGAGATGGTGGTTCAGGTAGAAACGCAGAAGAGAAAGAAGGGGAGAGGGAGGTTAATCCCCGGGGATTTCCTTGGACTACTTTTGCCATAAAGCAAACATGACTATCAGATATACAATCAAGATGGTCTCTTTGATTCGATATAGACAGTTTTTGACAGAAATACTATTTGGATCTAGTTCCAAGCTTTAACAATGAACTGCGGCTAATAATTCTTGCATGGGACTAATCCAAGTACTGATTTTGTTTTTATTTATTTTTACATTTTAAATTTAAGCGCTGTGTTTGATCTGCACTGAGAAGTGTTTTTCTTATGATCTTATCCATCAAAATAACGGGTTTGCAGAATCGTTCAAATGGAAGATTATTGTTATTGTTCTTTTTCCACTCGCAGTTCCAAGTTCTGAAAATATGGAGAAAATATCATCAGCCATGTTGTCAATAAAAGACTACGAGGAAATAATACGTCGTTTTTATGAATTCATACGATTATGAATCTTCCCAACAGTCCGATTTTCGATGAACCCCAAACTTCAATTCATGTCTCAAATTTGATAATTCAATTATAACATGCTATGTGACAATATTCTCATGAAAACATAACTTCTCTTATTCCATAACATGTTCCATGTATCTTATTGCATTTTCCAAAGAAGTCTGTACTCTGTCCGATTTAAGCTTGTTATCATATAACCATGTTAGTCACTGGAATTTTGAGAGACAATCGTGGATTATAGTCCAACTTACCTCTATGGCATGCGAAGGGGACAGACATATTTGGCAGAAATCACACCTTGATGTGCCTGTGACTAAGGATGTCAGTATTTTTTAGTCCCTGAAATTTGATGGTCAAATGTGGTGCTTGGCGATTTGAGTTCCATATTGCCGGTCAAGCCAACTGGCAAGCTCAAAAGCAACGGAGAGGAAGAGAAGTTCATTTGCTGACACTTTCCATGGTTAGGAGTTTTCCTAACCTAGATATTTAGTCAACAGTTAATTTCATGAATAGCAATGGTTTGAGGATTACTTTCATAAATATTCCTTGATTGCATACCCTATTTCAACTTTGAAGAGGGCACTCCCTAAATTACACCCCTGGAATTATGTAGTTTCGCAAGTGCTCCCCCAATTTTTGATCTTCTGTCAATTCACCACCTGATTTTTTTAAGAAATTAGGAAAAGTTGACATAAAAAATAATAATTTTACTATTTTAGGGTAGGTTGTCTTAAAATCAATAACTTGTTGAGTGTTTGTGAAATTACAATTACTAGTATTACGCTATCATTCTGTTAATATTATAGACGGATCTCAACATGAATGATGTTTTGAATAATTTTATACAATTTAGAGGCAAAATGAACCTTTTTTAAAGTTTAAGAGCATATTGAACTAGAGCATATAGTTCAAAAAGCCTATTTATGAGATTCATTCATGTTTTAAGGTTGTTGGCTTTGAAGTAATGAAACAAAATATGGAATAATTAGAAAGGGTTTGAGTCAGCATGACAAGAAGTTGTGTGTTATGCATTAATTTGAGGTGTATGGTTTTCAACTTGTTACTATTGACTTGACGTGACAAATGTACATAATTGTTAAAGGCTGATTATGCATAAGTTGGATTTCTTACTTGACAATCCCATGGAAACGGAATAAGAATGAATTAGAGCCTACCCCATTACATACCTCAGCCTTATCACCACCACTTCAATTATGAAAATCTAGTATGGATTAATCATCTATAATTTTATAGAGGTACACCACATAGATGTTCCATGACAAAAAAGATTTAAAAAAGGAGAGGAGTTACGGTTAAGAAAAGTTGCATCGCATGCTATAGATTATAATTATTAGTGTCGGTGTGAACCTTCATATGGTCTACCTTACATATTTCTGTGAAAAAAAATGATAAAATATCAACATAAATAATCAATAATGCAATCACTACCACGTGACACTCTTTTATTCGTTCAACTTTTTTTTTCTTTTTGATGAAGAGCCCTTTAACAATTTGTTTCTTAGAGCATTTTCAATCATACTAGTCATTTTATTTTTTAGTTAAAATAACTAATAATTTAACTCTTTTTTTTTTAATTTCTCTACTCTAATCATTATTAAATGGTTAGCTATTTTAGAAAATCTATTTTACACTAGTTAAATAACACTAGTAAAAAAGTACTAGCCATTTGTTTTTTTATTATTTTATTTTTAAAATTATAATAAATGCGAATGTTCTTTTTTTAAAATCAATAAAATTATTTGTACTTTAAATTCAATAAATATTAAAATAATTTATGTTTAGCTAAAATATGGAGTATAGTTAGAGTGGATCATTTAAAAGTTGTTAATTAAGATAACTTTCTAGCTATTTTAGCAAAAATTTAACTAAAATTTAGAAAGTTCCTTAAAAATGCTCCTAGATCACACGTGTTTATATCTAATTATACTTAATAACGACCTTTCTCTAAAAATTAAACACGAAACTAGAAGTTTGTTAGGGCCCAGTCGATTCGGGGGGTACTATGTGGCAATGGTGTACACATGAAAAATACCCAGTTTGATGATGAAGCTCCTATGCGGGTGCGATATATGGTGCTTTTGGATGTAGACACGATGACAAGACCTCCAATGACAATGGTGGGGTTGGCTAGGCCCGAATTAGGCTGAAGAAAATGGATTCTAGGGCCTTTTTCACTACCGAAATGACAAAAATAACCCTGCGAGAAGAGTTAAAAAATCCACAACAACAAGAAGGAAACCACGTAAACCGAAGTCGGTGGAAGAAGTAATAAAGTAGTTTATGGAGAGATGACTGTTGGTTGCCCGAATCGAATCCGGATAGGGAAGCGCGGTGGTGCGGGGAAGAGGCGGATCGTGTATAACAAAAATTTTCATAAAACTTTTGACATACTCTATAGATTATATTAATTTATGCGCGAATAAATTAATCTCATTAACTTATATATATCAAGAACTCAATCAGAAAAAATACCTGGAAGCCGACTCGGATGATAACTTGAGTTCTTTGACCACGAACAGTCCTTGCTCCAATCTTTGTGTTTAGAAAACCAATGTCTTCCACGTCAATTCCTAGAATCCACGAAGACGTGTGTGTGGGCACACATGAGACAAAATGGGTTACAATAAACACTCGAATTTCCACAAACACCATCACATGCACGATGTGGAATTTTTGGAGAAAAATTTTTTTCTTCCTTTCTCTCTTGAGAATTTCGGCTAGCCTTAACTCTTAGGGCTGAAAAATTGTTTCCAAAATTTCTAGAGAAATTTCGGCTACCTCTAAAATTAGGGCAAAAAACCATTCCGAAAATTGTCTCAAAAATAGTATTTATAGAGTAGAAGTCAAACTTCTAGAAGGAATCTAATCTCTATCTCCAATTTGAATTTCGAACCAAAATTCTCCTCTATCCCTTATCCCTTGTGGCCGGCCATGCTAGGGATTCCTACGCCTGTGTGTGGCGCCAATACTGGATAGGGACGAAAAGAGAAAATCATCCTTTATCCTGTAGTCCAATTTTATTTCAAATTCGAATTTAAGTCAAACTTAAATTAATTTGAATTTCTAAATTAAACAACTTATCTAATAAGTTTAAATGGATAAATCTAGATGTGTTCAAATTCAAATTTAAATAATCACATTATTTAAATAATAATTAATTCTCAATTAATTATTTTCGAGTATTTAATTTTAGAATT